AAGAACCATTGTTAGAGCTTTCAAAAATTTAAATAAAATTAACTAGAAATCAATTTTTTCTTACATAATGAATTACAAGTTCAGTTTCATACGTAAGAACAAAATCCCCACTTTCCTTTCATTGTTTTGCATTATTCTTGCCCTAGTTTATCACGCACTGAGAAAATACAGTTTAGTTGAACCTTTGTGCGTGCATGGAATCATTCTTTTTCTGTATACGTTCAATCGAGGGAAAAAATTGCGTACGTAAGACGTACGCAGCGCTCCCTGCGTCGTCCAATTGCCGTTTGACAAAACAGCAATGTCGGTCCTGCCGCCTTTATTCAAACGCGACCCGTCGACCTGACCCGCTCGGTTATAATCGAGTTATAATCGAGCGGTACAGGCGGTGTAACCGAGCGGGCCATTACTGCGGTACCGCTCTAATAACATGGTTGTAACCTTCCTGTAACCTCAAGACGAATGAACCGCGCTTATAACGTTGCCGTAACCGAGATCTAACACATTGCTGTGTAACCTAGCAATATAAATGAGCTATAACTGAGCCGTAACCGAGAGTTCATACCGCGCGTTGTAACCTAGCAATATAACTGAGCTGTAACTGAGAGAGAAAATGAAGCGTAACTTTGCGGTAATCGCCTGAGAAATTGAAACGTTTGCGTAACCTAGTGGTAACCTAGGTAGCGAATGTCACCTTCGGCTAACGTGACTGATTAAATACCCGTGGTAAAAAATTTAGGGACAGTAAGGATTCTTATTTTCGTTCGCGCCTAGGGTTTGCATTCACTCGAACGTTACGTTGAGGTATTGATATTGTTTAGGGTTTTGCTGAAAATGGAGGACAACGACAAGGGTATGACATTGTTGGAAGAGGAGAATGTTGCCCATTTTGATGAGGCGGAGAAGCCGGACGTCGAGGATGGCAAGAAGCTTGAAGTTGAGCTGCCAAAGCTAATGGCGAAGGGTAGACACAAGAAGGATTTAGGTTGCTCCAAAATGGGGAAAACAGAGGACACCGAATCCATAAAGCAACCCAAGACTGTTTCTAGGTATATTTGAGATTTTGCTTTCGTTAATGTTTAATGGTGAATTTTAATTTTTTGAGGTATATTAAGTCTGAATGATGAATTTTAAGACTGACTTTTAAAAGATTTTAAATTTCTTTCATTATTTTTTACATAGTTTAACATACATTAAAATTAAATGTAGGTTTTTTAGCTCGAAATCAATGAACTGTAGATGTCGTCCATCTGAAGTATGAGAAGCTCTGGATAAGGTCCGGCCAACTATCGAAAAGCACACGTAGAATAAATTGGAAAACATGAGTTTGGTTCATTGATCGAATGACATTTCAGCTGGGTGGGAAAGAGCTGAAATTTGATGCTGACCAAGTTGACCTCTTAAAAGGCATGCCAAATAGAGGGCCGCCCGCATCCTGGAATAAAGCTCCGTCCTGTAGTATTGATGCGAGACAAATGAAGACCTAACTTATCAATTTTGAACCAGTACAGTCTTTTGACCGTTTTATAGTCAAAGCAGTTGTCTTCTATCTGCGAGGACGTTGAAACATTCAATTAATTTTAGAGTATCCAAGCAGCTGTCTTCTCTTTGTGAGGAAGTTGAAGCATTCAACTTGAATAATTGACCCGCGACAGTGTGTGGCTTTTTTATTGATCGATTGAACCTATGTGCTATGAAGCTTAGGACGGATCAGCCAGTTCGATATATTACTGGCTTTTTCTTCCTCTTAACAGTTTGTTCCGACATTATTATTGAAATATCTTTTAATTATTTTTTATTTTGATACCAATTTTGATACCAAATATTTAATTTAACATGCTTCATACAGCTCTGGTTTTATGAGCACACATCCTTGGCCGTGCTAGCAGTTCATGAGGCTAGACCCTGAATGCTAAGATGACTAGTAAATGTTAGATGAAACGCTTTACAGATTCAACTAGCGTTCAACATGCTCAGCCTTGCTGAGGTTATTTAAATAAATTTCAATAATAGTTGGAAAAGTAGTCATGTTATACATTAATTGCCCCTGATTGTGTGCTATTTTTTTTGGCAGGTGTATGATTATTTTCTTGATTTAAAGGAAAGTGAACATCACTTACTAATTCACTTGTAGAGCCCTCAAGTCCAGCAAAGTTTCTCCCACAGAGGGAAACCATTTCAAGAACCAATGCATGTTGAGGTCTTCCCTATAGTACCTTATTATATTGGTACTCAACCATCTGACAGTCATACATATGAACAGTCGAGTCAGAGGATGGGGAAAACACTTGGATGTGAAGAGATACACGATTTATTGAAATCCCAGCAAAAAATTATATTGGATTTTCAAGTATCCGTTGACAGTCGTCTGACCCAGTTAGAGAATACAATTTTGGAATTTGAAGACTCTATTTATAGTCGATTGACAACATTAGAGAATACGGTGACCGACCTAAAGTATCATGTCATGCGAGTAGAGAAAACAATTAAACAAACACCGGTGGAATTGCCGAGAAGATGGGTTAAAGAATCCCCACAAAGAAGCTTGATCAAAAGGATTAAGGATATGTTAAATAGAAAAACAAAGTTTCTTAGCTCCCCATATGTTGTTTTTGCAAGAAAGCGAAAAAGGAACCCACTAAGGAATCAGTTGAAAATAAATAAGAAGAGGAAGTGGTTGTAGATCAGCGAACCAAATCTCAAGAAGAGATTCAATCTGTACATAAGGAGGAGGAAGAGCTCCAGCCAGTCAGTCCTTATGTTAGTGAGGACTACCCAGACAAGGTATGGAATGTTAGGTTTAATTATTTAAATGTGCAGTAAATATTATGATTTGATTATCTTACAGGTCCAACCAACAGCACAAGTAATTAACTTTCCTGGTAGGGATGAAGTTCTTGATTATATGCGGTAGACAATTGATATATGCTGTAGAAAATATACCGACTTGTTAGTTCATCTAATTCTTGTTACTGTTTATCATTAATTTTGTAACTGTTAACTAAAGTAATTTTATATTTCCAATGCAGGGGTGATCTATTAATTGATATGGGACATGTTTCAGTGCCGCAACGTTATCTCGATGAATTTTTGGGAAACAGTTGGTTATACAATGAGCAGGTTGATTGTTTTGCCTTGTTGATAGAGAATAAGCGGTGTAATGCACTACATCTATATAGATCGTATTTATATATATCGCCATGCCACTGGGTAAGCTTATTAAGTTGTGTA